TAAAACTTAACGATCGGTTATGTAAAAATATATTACTTACATATTATAAAAGCTACAATGTTTAAAAAGTTGTATATAAGTCATTATTTTAGATTAAATTATAGAATTTCCACATGATTCCCCTTCTGGGTAAATACCTGAAAGAATGAAAAGTAGAGACCTGAAGAGTCACGTGCGCACCCGCGTTCACAGGAGCCGCGTTCACGGGAGCCGGGGGGTGGGTGGGAACCCTGACACCGGCGCCGGTGGGCCTTCAGGGCGCTGTGCTCAGCGACAGGAGCCAGAGGCAAAGGACTAAATGCTATACGATGCCACGTCCATAAAGTCCCTAGAGAAGTCACATTCATAGAGACAGAACATAGCAGGGAGGTGGCCGGGGGCCAGGAGGTGGGGAGGCCGTGATGTGCAGGGACAGAGGTTCAGTCTGGGACGATGAAAAGGTTCTGGACACAGCCACACAGCGACGTGAATGTACTTATTGCTGCTTGCGTGTAACTTAAAAATGGTTAAAATGGTCAATTTTTTGCTTTTACCGCCGTCAAGAAATGCAGTGCCCTATTAGAAGAGTGGAATTGCATAGGAAGTTTCTATAACATGAATTCAATAGCTTACAGGTACGCGTGTCAGGGGCAGAGGTGATGACCGCGTAACGCCCACACGCCCTTGGCGTTTTACAACGGCCGTCTCATCTGCCGGTGTCCCCCGCCCGGGTGCCTGTGCCGTTGACGCGCTGCACGGCGGCCCCTGCACAGCTCTCCCTGGCTCACCTTCCAGGGTGGCACGTTGGTAGCCTGGCATTGGCCAAGGGTATTTACTCCACGGAAAAGGCAGATGCTGCAAGTCAGGTGGTGTTTGTCTGTAACACTCCCGCCCCCCCCCGCCCCCCGCCAAAGTGCTGGTGTTCACGCCAGAAGGAGGGGCTGGGGCTGAGGCTGGGGCATGGACTGCGGGTCCAGAGCAGCCTGCTCCCTCCCCAGGCACATGCGTGGGAGGCAGAGACTTGCCCGTGGCTCAGAGGCAGCGGGCGGGAGACAGGACTCAGGGTGACACCCAGATGTTTGGCTGGAGCGCCCGGGTGGACAGCAGTGCCATTTATGGAGATGGAGGGACGCGGGGAGCGCCCGGGACGGGGGAGGCCCAGTGGCTGACGGCTCCAAGGCCCGGGAGCTCAGGGAAGCCCTACTGTGCGCCACGCCCAGGCAGAGCTGAGGTCGTGTGGACTCTGTCCTGGAGGAGCTCAGGTCTGTAACAAAACAGATGAGCCACTTACGGGGTGTCCTGTCCAAAAGCACGGAGTGGCTGGGCCCACGGCCACCGTCCTCCCTCCGCTCCCCAGGCCACACGGAGCTGGGGTCACGGACACCGGCGTGCATGCCAGAGGCCTGTTTCCGCCCCGTTTCCTCCCTCCCTCCCTCTTTTTCCCAAGCTTCGTGAGCTCCCTCCGCCTGGGCTTGGCCTGCGGGTTCCTCCTCAGCCTGCGGCCGCTTCCCATTCCCAGACAGGCCCGAACCGGACTTCACGCTGGACCTTCTCTGCCCACCCCCGGCGTCCAGCTTTCCTTACTCAAACTTGCTGCCCAGATGCCCTGCCCCGACCCCAGTCCCTCAGGACTGCCATCCACGGGGCCTCCTCGGTGTCCCGGGACACATTCTGCGGCTTATGAAACACCTTTAGGAGATGCAGCTCTGGCCTGAGAAAATGACTCCAGTGGGGTCTCCAGGCCTGTATTCGTGTCCCGGGGCCCTGGGACAAGGGACTGCTTTGTGGGTGCTGAACACAACTGCCGTGGGCTCTCCCCCATTTCTGGAGGCTGGACCGGCCAGTCATGGCGTGGGCAGGGCCGTGCTCCATCGGAAGGCGCGAGGGGAGAAGCCTTCCTGCCTCTCCTGGCTTCTGAGTCCCAAGTGTCCTTGGCTTGTGGCTGCATCCCTCCAGGCTCTGCTTCCAGCTTCACGAGGCCTCTCCTTTGCATCTCTGTGCCGCCTCCTCAAGTCTCCTAAGGATGCTTCTGGTTGAGTTGAGGGCCACCCTAGTCCAAGAAGATCTTATCCAGAGATCCTTGTCTTTGTTACACCTGCAAAGATCTTTATACCAAATCAGGTTACCTCCTGAGATTCGGATGGACCTTTCTTTTCGGGGGGCACCACTCACCCCATGACAAGTCTCAGGGTGGGCCTGTGAGGCAGACGGCCCCTCTGGTGACCCTCCAATCACACCGTCTCCCGTGGCCTTGGGACAGTGCGCCATCCCAGAAGGCAGATCCCTTACAGTTGGGGTTTTTTTGCCAAATTTCGGCTCATTTTCCTTTCCATGTTGCTGCTTCTGCTCATTTCATCTGCCCAGGGCCTCTGCCAGGGTCGTTGGTTCAGCCCCGGGCCCTGCCTGCTGGTGCCCTGGGAAAGGGGGGTGGAGGCTACCCCCCCCCCCACAGGGATCAGGCCTTAAAGACTGGACTCAGCCATCAGGGGCGATCAAAGGCGGGGGAAGATCAAAGGGATGGGCCAGGGGGATTCAGGCTGGGAAGGAGGCGGCCAAGGAGCCACCGGCTTGCCTTCCAGTTTGGAGAAGGTAATTATTACTTGCAGGGTGGTGCCCAGCTGTTTCCCATCTCCTCGGAGAACAGGAAAAAAAAGAGGAAATAAATGATGTGCAATTAGAGTGGCTGGTTAGATACAAGGGTGAACTTCCTGGCTGGGAGCACAGCCGGGCGCCGGGCGGGGTTTCTGGGGGGAGTGTCAGCCCGCCCCTACCTGGACGTGTCCAGCCTGGCCTCAGCGGCCCCCGTGGTTGAAGTGAAGCGGCGCCCGAGGCAGGCGGCGGACTGGACAGGCTCCAAGCGGTCCCGCCGGCGTGGGGCGCTCTCTGGCCTCGGAGGTTGACTCCCTCCTGCCATTGTCCTCTGGGTCCCCCTTGGGGAGCATTTTGATGAGGCGTGTACCCTGGCTGGGCTCTCCGAGGAGACCAGCCTAAGTATATTTAGCGCCGCTGTGAATGGCCGTGAAATAGTGCACAATAAGCAGGCCCTCCGCTAATCCGGTAGAGCCCAGGCCAGCCTCTGCGAGAACAATCACGTGGGCGTGTCCATGCGCACCAGGTGTTTTTTATGAAAACACTGGAGAATGACCCTGTGGCCCAGGCGGGAGACCATCCAGGACACCCCGGGTCTTCCCAGGTGGCGCGGCGTCAGGCTGTTCTTAGGGGTCGGGGACCGCCACACTCCCAAGCACGGGTGGGCAGGTACCCCAGACGGGTGGACCGTCGGGCACCCCAGGTGCTGGCGTTCGGACCAGAAGTGCCCCGGCTGGTGTGGAATACGTGATCGGGGGCTATTCCTGACGGCCGCGACGCCGGCTCTGAAACCCGGGCGCCCGGGCAGCGGAGGGCGTGCGCGCATCTGAAATGTCTGTGGTTTTGCTGCTCCGTGTCCACAAACTCACTTGGTTGAAAATAGTTCAAAATATCCAAAGCATGAGGGAGGGAGTGGCTGCTTTCCTTAAAAAGGAAGAACTCGGTTCTATTTACTGAAAAAAGCCCACCCAACCTGGTTCATCCTCTGCAAAAGGCCGCGAATGACTGGGAGGCAGTCCTCAGCCTCCCTTGCACGTCAGGACTGGAGGCGGGCGGGGGGGGGCGGGGGGTGCAGGGTGGAGGGGTGGCAGTGACCAGCCTGAGAACTAGGAGGAGCTGTGGGCGCTGTGGTGCCACACTGTCCATGGCTCGGAGGGTCCTGTTCCACGCCGCCAATTCTGGCACTACCCCCCCCCCCCCGCGACTTTGGGCAGGCCCCGCAGGTCTAAGGTAGTGAGCGGGCACAGGCAGGAGTGACCAGGAGGCTCACCCCACCCAGAAGTGAGGGCCACACCTGGATGGCCCTTCTTGGGGACTTGATCCTGTTGCTTCTCAAGTTCCAACCCATCCTCTTGTTTGTCCCCAGCCCCTAGGACCTGTTGGCCGGGTAGGTAATAGGGTTTGATCAATGTTTGTTGAAGGGATGGGGAAGCGTAGACTGCTAACTGCCCTGGAGCGCCTGGAGCTTAGGGGCCCAGACGGGGCGCGGGGCAGGAGGCCGTTTTCCGCATCCTAAACTCCTTATCTAGTAACTACGGAGGCCGGGTCTCCGCTCCGCCTTCGAGAAGCCCCTCGTTGTTGGGGGGTGCGGGGAGCGCAAGTCCCTGGTTCTTCTGACAGGGCTTGCCATCCTTGCCTCAAGCCCCCGCTGGGCCAGCGCCTTCTGTCATCTGTCCCCGAGGGCGCATCAGTGACCCCGGTTGGAAGGATGGGGGTGGGGAGTCGCTGGCGGGGCGGGGGGTGGGGGGGGCCTCCGGGCCACGTGACTGTTGCGCTAGCCCCTCGGCTCTTCGCCAGCAACAGGCCAGGATCCTGCGGGCAGCCAGCCCGAGCGCTTAACCCTTGCAGGCGCCGAGCGCGGGAAGGCGCAGGCGGCCAACTTTGTTTGCTTGCGTAAATAAAACCTCCCGCAGAAGGAACTCTGCGCCCCAGGGAAAGGGAGTGATCTCTTCCCTCCCACCCCCTCGGCACCGCCCCCACAGCTCCGTCAGGCCTCCACATCCGCCCACATCTGGCCGCAGCGGGGCGTTGGGGGAAGGGGGCTGCCTAGTCCCTCGCTGACCCCCGGGCGCAGGCCGGCGGGCGAAGGGGGGCACTCGGGTCGGGCGCCCAGAACTCGGCCTGTCCTTCGGTGGCATCTCTCGCCCCAGCCTCCCCCCACCACCAGGTCCCAGCTTTGACAGGCGGGCGGAGCAGCCAGTGCGAGCCAGGGAGGCCGGGCCAGGGTGCGGGGGAACCTGATCCGCCCAGGAGGCGGGGGCGGAGCGGGGCGGGGGCGCCAGGAGCGGGAGGCCGGCGCCCGCCCGCCTCCCCCATTCATTCAGCCGAGCCCGGGGGCCGAGGGGCTCCGCGGCCAGCTCTGCTCGGCGGGACCACGGGCGCGGCGCCCCAGCCAGCGCGCAGGGCCCGGGCCGGCCGGGGCACTTCCTCGCCGCTGCCGCCTTCCGCGCGTCGCGCTGCCCGCGAGCCACCATGTCCGACCCCGCGGTCAACGCGCAGCTGGACGGGATCATTTCGGACTTCGAAGGTGGGTGGGTGCCGGCCCTGGGAGCGCTCGGGCTGGACGGGTGCGCGGAGCGGGAGGCGGACCCCCGATGGGGAGCCCTCCTGCTGCGCGCCCCCTGCCCCGCCCCGCGTCGCCTACGCGGAGGACCCTGTGTGGGGACAGCTGCCGCCTGGGTTTCCTTCCTTTTATTGTTTGTGTGTGCTGAGCGACAACAACCTCCTCGAGGACTCATGGGCTTCCTCGGAACACCGGGCGGGTGTGCAGCTTCCCCCCTCGGCTGTCGTCGATCCCCTCCCTCGGCGCTCGCTCAGCCCCCTCCCTGGGGCGCCTCCGGTGGGCCTTCGAAGGCCACTCGGCCCTGCCGCGGATCGGGGCAGTTGGGGAGTTGGGTACCCGCCCCCGCGCCCAGCCGCGGAGGACAAGCCCCTCCCCCACACCAGTTTGGGCCTGGGCTGAGCCGAATCCGGGCTGGGGAGGGCCGCGAGCGGACACGGCGCCGTCCTGGGGAGGGCGTCCCATCGTCCCCCATCCAGGCCGGGGGACATCCTCAGCCGTCCGCCAGAGTCAGGCAGTGCGGGGAAGTGGGCGTCTGCGTGCGAGTAGGGAGTGCACTCGGGTACCCTCCCCTGTTAGGGGTTTCCAGCGTGTGGAGGGACTCGGTGCCTGTCCCTGCGAGGGTGTCCCGCATCCTGGCTTTGGGTGTGCGTGCGTGCGTGTGCGCACACTCGCGCTTTCGTGAGCCGAGAGCCCTCGTGACCGCCTGCAGGCTCTGTGTCCTGGGGAGTAAATACAGCGGTCGGAAGGGAAGCTCACACAATAGTCTCCAGCGCTTGGGGCCGGATTTCGAGGGGCGGGTCTGCCTCTGCCGGGACCTGGAGCCCCCGCCCCGCCCCTCGGAGGGGCTCCCAGGCAGCCTTGGGCAGAGCCCTCTGGTGGGCTGGTGTGGGGGAGGCTGGCCTGGAAGGAATTACAGGCGTTCAGGTGCCAGGCTAAGCCGGGGGTCCTCCACCCTTCATGCGCAGAACCAGGGCCGGGATCTGGGCGTCCGGAGCCCATCTGCTCACGGGCCCGCCTGGGTGCAGCCCCACCTGGCCCTCCACAGCCGCTTGTCTGTGGGCAAGAATTAGCCCCGCTGGAGAGGTTGCCCCCTGCAGGCTCCCCCTGGGCGCGCGCTCTCCCTGTGACCAGAGCAGTAAGTCCGCTGGCCGGCCCTGAAGCCTGAAGTGCTGCTGGTGGGATTTGTGAGGAAGAATGGGGTGTGATGGGGGCCCACGGGCAGGATGGGGAAGTGGAGCTTGGGGGTCGTGTGGTCCTACAGCTGTCACAGTTCATGCCACGTGGGTTGTTGGTGCCTCTGCCTTGGGGTCCGTCCCCATCACCGGGTGCCCCGTCTGAAGATGCTGGCAGCCTCTGTGGCTGCCTCCTGGGTGGCTCCTTGACCCTCTAATTTAGTCGGAGACAATGGCCTCATTGAGATCATCCCAGGGAACAGCTGGCAGCCCTGTGGCTCTAGAGGGGGATTTCTCCGTTTAGGGAGCCTGGGACCCGCCGTTGTGCGCCCTGCGAAGCTCAGAGCTCCCTGAGGACGGGGGGTGCAGGCGGGAGGGCCCCCCGGCCGCCCGAGGGGAGGTGTGCCCGAGTGTGGGTGGGAGGGTGCCAGCCTGGGGACCAGAGCGGCGGCCTAAGTGCCCCAGGAACTTCAAGTGGAGCTGGCAGTGGAGGACCGACAGCCTTGGATGGAAGGACACGGGGAAGGAGAAGAGTGTGACCCAGAGCGACAGTGGGTGACCCAGGGCAGACAAAGGTCACTGCTGGCTAAGCACAAAAGTCCTTATGGAGGAGGCGGGCCTTGCGGGGAAGTGGGAACTTGAGTATGAGAGGCAGGAGGAGAGCCATCCGTTCTGGTCAGGAGGGCAAGCAAGGGAGGCCGGGACAAGCTGGTCCGTGAGGGGGCTGGGGCGCGAGGAGGGGCCCGCGGGTGGCCAAGGGGGCTGGGAGTGCCGCCGGAGTGAGGGGCTCTCCGGAGGGGCGCTGGCCCGTGTCTGGGGGACAGCCGCCCGCCCGGTGTCAGTTTCTGTGCGGTGGGGGGAAAGGGCAAGGGCGAAGCTGCCAGCTCCCGCGCAGCTGTGGGGCCGCGGCCGGCAGTTCCCGAGGCCGGAGGACCCGCTCCCGCACGTGGACGGCCGGAGGATGGGGGCCCGAGCTGCAGTGGCCGGCAGACTGGCATCCCGCCACAAGGCCGGAGGGTGCCTCAGGGACACTGCGGGGGTGTGTGTCCAGGCCAGAGTCGTGGCCTCGGGACAGCCGGAAGCTCTCAGGGACGGCGTGGGGGGTGCCGGGGAAGATGGGAAGCTGCCCCGGGGTGGCGTGTTCTCACTGGTGGGCGTGTGTGTGGGGAGCAGGCGCCCCACGTTCTGGGCACAGCTGTCCCCTGCCCTGCGGAGCACCATCTCTTTTTGTCACCTTGTCTCTGGCCTGCGCCCGGCCCTTGAGGACTCGGAGAGTTGGTCCTGAGTGTGAGATTGGTCAGGGTAGCACTGGGGTGTAGCCTGTCCTATGTTGGACTGTCTGTCAAGTTCAGGCCCCGCCCTGGGGACGGGGAGGGTGGCGGTGCCCTCCACAAGCGAACCTGCCGCACCCGCCTTGGCCCCTCTTCACCGATGATCCTGGGGCTCAGTGCTGACCCCCTGCGTGGGGGCCAGAGGAGGGCTTTGTATTTGCCGTTGTGCTTTTTAGAGTCTCCTTCCCCGCGTTTCCTGGGACAGACGGGCCTCGGGGCGACTTTGGCACCCGTCACTCCCGCGTGATGCGGTGGTGGGCGGGGTGACCCCATCCCCTGTCTGGCTGCGGGTTGGTGCGGGCACAGGCCTTTGGACGGCATGTTCTTTAGGGAGTGCCGGCCAAGTCCGCTGTGCCAGCCTGGGCCTCTGTGCGACAAAAGCCACTCCCAGGGCCGGCTGCGGGCCCACCTTCCCGGCAGTGTTTGCTGTACCCAGATTTGCACGTGGAGAAAGAATCCAGAAAGTGGTGTTTGTAGAAACCAGACCAGGCGTCCTGGTCGCAGAGCCACGCAGTCACATAGAGGATGTCGGCCCTTCTAACTCCTCCGCTGTCTCCTCAGAGGACCCTGCGAGCAGGCTCGGCCCTGACAGGATGTGAGGCAGGGTCACTGTGCACGATGCCTCCCGGGACGGGGCCCTGCAGTTACGTGCTCTCCTAGGGCCCGACAGCCACCCGAGGCATTGGCCTCGTGCACTTCTCGTCCAGAACACGGGACCGGGAGGGGCGGATGTGCGCGCTGCAGGTAGCGGAAGCATTTCCGTGATCAGCCTCACAGCTGGGCTGAGGGGCAGCCCTGGGCTGGGGAGATGAGCGCAAGCGTGGGACACCCCTCTGCGGGGTGACAGGAAAGGCTCAGGGCGAGCGCACGCTGCCTTTGGATTAGCGCAAGCCTCCGTTTCCCCCTTTGCTGAGTGGGGTCAGGAACACCTCTGAGGGTTGCCCAGCGCTGAGCCTAGGTCCTGCCCCAGGGAGCGAGGTGGGTACTTGCAAAGGACAGGTGGATGTGGGCGCCTGAATGTCGGGGTCAGGGGATGGCACATGTGCAAAGGCCCAGGCAAGGGTCTGTCTGGTCCCCCGGGGGGTGAGGGGCGCCACGTGCTCGACCCTGCAGGTTCAGGGTGCCCACGGGGCCTGCTGGGGGTCCTGAGTCCGGCAGACACCCGGACCCTCCCTGTCACAGAAGGGCTGGGGTCCCGGGGCTCCTGCTGGCGGAGGCAGACCCAGCCTCCTCTACCACCCCCTGCACCCAGGGCACGACAGTGGGGTGGACCGCGGGCCTGCCTGCGGGGCCGCGTGGGGACAGTGACGCGGGCTCGCGCTGGGCCACTTGACTGCAAAGACGCGTGTGGTCAGGCCGCATGCCTGAGGCTCCGCCGGCCCCCAGCCTCCCTGAAAGGCGCTCACGGCCGGGGGCCGGTGTCGGGAGGGGCGTCCGGCTTGTCCAGCAGCCTGTGAGGGTCCTGATCGTGTGGGTGTGGAGCCCGGTGCCCAGCGAGGAGAGCAGTCCCGTCTCTGGCCAGTGGGGAGAGCCGTGTGTCCCTCACCCCCGCCGGGGCCAGTGAGCTCTGCAGCCCCTGCCCTCGAGGTCTCCAGGAGCCCGGGCACAGGCTGGTGTCCGCGGGGGCCCCTGTGCCTGGAAGACAAACCCACTGGAGTGGAGCCCCAGGGTCCGCAGCAGGCGCGGTGCTGGCAGAGGCGGGCACTCGCTTAGGGGCGTCTGAGGGGGTGGCTCTCCTGCTGGCCCATTCGTGATGGAGGGCCACCGAGGGAATAGGGATGTATAGGCGGTGTGCTTGCTCCGTAGGAGCCGGGGGCTTCTCCGCCCGCTCACTGCGGCCTCCGCTTACCCGTTGGGAGGGCCATAGCCCTCCTGTCCCTGCGCTGGCCGAGCAGAACAGGGCCCTCCTCCTCCTCCTTGCGTGCCCAGAGGTCAGCGGAGGTCAGAGGTCAAGCCCCCAACTTGGGTCCCCAGATGAATGCCCCAGGGGCGGGTGGCCCAGCCTGCCGCTCCTCTGACAGTCTCCTGGGTGCTGATGGGAGACAGGGCCGGCTGTGGGGACCTTCAAACCCAGGAAGGAGCCACCTCACTGCTGGGCGAGACCGGGTACTCCCCTCTGGTTTGGAGACCCCCAGGGCAGGGCTGTGTGTGCTCGCTGTGCTGGGACCGAACAGTGGGCCATGTGCGCTAGACCCTCGAGGACCAGGCGGTGTGTGTAGGAAGGTGGTGTGGGGTGGGCTGGGGGCTCTGGGCAGCTGGGGGCTCTGCTAGGAGCCACATCGGAGGCAGGGGTCCCGGGGGGGTTTGCTCTTTTGATTTGTCCCAGAAACTCAACCAGGAAACAAGGTCCTGGGCTTTGTCTCGCCAAAGCCACTGAGGAAAGACAGTCAAACAGTGGCTTTCTTTCCAAAGCCCTCTCTGCTTTTTCCCAAATTTGGAGGCTCTCTGAGTTGCTTATGAG